GAGTGTTTCTATGAGATACTAGTGAGTGTTTCTATGAGATGCTAGTGAGTGTTTCTATGAGACACTAGTGAGTGTTTCTAGAGATACTAGTGAGTGTTTCTATGAGATACTAGTGAGTGTTTCTATGAGAACTAGTGAGTGTTTCTATGAGATACTAGTGAGTGTTTCTATGAGAATATAGTGAGTGTTTCTATAGAGTACTAGACTAGTGAGTGTTCTATGAGATACTAGTGGAGTGTTTCTATGAGATGCTAGTGAGTGTTTCTATGAGACACTAGTGAGTGTTTCTATGAGATACTAGTGAGTGGTTTCTATGAGATGCTAGTGAGTGTTTCTATGAGATAATAGTGAGTGTTTCTATGAGATACTAGTGAGTGTTTCTATGAGACTACTAGTGAGTTGTTTCTATGAAGACTACTAGTGAGTGTTTCTATGAGATACTAGTGAGTGTTTCTATGAGATACTAGTGAGTGTTTCTATGAGATACTAGTGAGTGTTTCTAAGAGATACTCGTGAGTGTTTCTATGAGATGCTAGTGAGTGTTTCTATGAGATACTAGTGAGTATGTCTATGAGATACTAGTGAGTGTTTCTATGAGAAACTAGTGAGTGTTTCTATGAGATACTAGTGAGTGTTTCTATGAGATGCTAGTGAGTGTTTCTATGAGATACTAGTGAGTGTTTCTATGAGATACTAGTGAGTATGTCTATGAGATACTAGTGAGTGTTTCTATGAGACACTAGTGAGTGTTTCTATGAGATACTAGTGAGTGTTTCTATGAGATGCTAGTGAGTGTTTCTATGAGACACTAGTGAGTGTTTCTATGAGATACTAGTGAGTGTTTCTATGAGATACTAGTGAGTGTTTCTGTGAGATACTAGTGAGTGTTTCTATGAGATACTAGTGAGTGTTTCTATGAGATACTAGTGAGTGTTTCTATGAGACACTAGTGAGTGTTTCTATGAGACACTAGTGAGTGTTTCTATGAGATACTAGTGAGTGTTTCTATGAGATGCTAGTGAGTGTTTCTATGAGATACTAGTGAGTGTTTCTATGAAACAGTGAGTGTTTCTATGAGATACTAGTGAGTGTTTCTATGAGATGCTAGTGAGTGTTTCTATGAGATACTAGTGAGTGTTTCTATGAAACAGTGAGTGTTTCTATGAGATACTAGTGAGTGTTTCTATGAGATACTAGTGAGTGTTTCTATGAGATACTAGCGAGTGTTTCTATGAGATACTAGTGAGTGTTTCTATGAGATACTAGTGAGTGTTTCTATGAGACACTAGTGAGTGTTTCTATAAGACACTAGTGAGTGTTTCTATGAGATACTAGTGAGTGTTTCTATGAGATGCTAGTGAGTGTTTCTATGAGACTCTAGTGAGTGTTTCTAAGAGATACTAGTGAGTGTTTCTATGAGATGCTAGTGAGTGTTTCTATGAGATACTAGTGAGTGTTTCTATGAGATGCTAGTGAGTGTTTCTATGAGATACTAGTGAGTGTTTCTATGAGATACTAGTGAGTGTTTCTATGAGATACTAGTGAGTGTTTCTATGAGATGCTAGTGAGTGTTTCTATGAGATGCTAGTGAGTGTTTCTATGAGATACTAGTGAGTGTTTCTATGAGATACTAGTGAGTGTTTCTATGAGACACTAGTGAGTGTTTCTATGAGATGCTAGTGAGTGTTTCTATGAGATGCTAGTGAGTGTTTCTATGAGATGCTAGTGAGTGTTTCTATGAGATACTAGTGAGTGTTTCTATGAGATGCTAGTGAGTGTTTCTTTGAGATGCTAGTGAGTGTTTCTATGAGATGCTAGTGAGTGTTTCTATGAGATACTAGTGAGTGTTTCTATGAGATACTAGTGTTTCTATGAGATGCTAGTGAGTGTTTCTGAGATGCTAGTGAGTGTTTCTATGAGATACTAGTGAGTATTTCTGTGAGATACTAGTGAGTGTTTCTATGAGATACTAGTGAGTGTTTCTATGATATGCTAGGGAGTGTTTCTATGAGATACTAGTGAGTGTTTCTATGAGACACTAGTGAGTGTTTCTATGAGATACTAGTGAGTGTTTCTATGACATGCTAGTGAGTGTTTCTATGAGATACTAGTGAGTGTTTCTATGAGACACTAGTGAGTGTTTCTATGAGATACTAGTGAGTGTTTCTATGAGATGCTAGTGAGTGTTTCTATGAGACACTAGTGAGTGTTTCTATGAGATACTAGGGAGTGCTTCTATGAGATACTAGTGAGTGTTTCTATGAGATGCTAGTGAGTGTTTCTATGAGAGGCGACCCAGAGGCGTGGAGGCTGCCCTCTGACGCTCAGCAGAACACTCTTTGATTCTTTCGGTAAAAATTCACGTAGGGTGGAAATAAAATAACACCAAATCACGACGTTTCGATTGCAACACAAGCAATCATCATGAAGTGGGATTAAACAAAAATCTCGCTGTGGTTTTCCCACCTGATGATGATTGCTTGTGTTGCAATCGGAACGTCGTGATTCGTTGTTATTTTATTTCTAACCCACGTGATTTTTTTTTTTACCGAAAGAAACACAGAGTATGGATTCCTGCAGCCACGAAAGCTTCAAATCAAGCCCAGCAGAATGTTTGTGTCCTGGGAGTGATGTCTTTCTCTCTCTCTCTCCTCTCTCTCTCTCTCGATCACAATTGGTCTCATTTGCAATTTGAAACGGGAATGTGTTGGGAGACGACCCCCCCCACTCCTCACACAAACAAAATACAAACACTGAGCCATTCCCACTGTCACCCCCTCGATTCCACAGAAGTCCCGCTAACCCCTGCCCAACGCTACCACACACCATCAACCACCACCAACAGCAACCATCACCACCAACAACCATCAACAACCATCACCACCAGCAACAACCATCACCACCAACAACCATCACCAACTACAACAACCATCACCACCAACAACCATCACCAACTACAACAACCATCACCACCAACAACCATCACCAACTACAACAACCATCACCACCACCCACATACGAACACAACACCCAGCAGCCACAACGCACGCACGAACACACTCCAACCACCGGCAACCATCACCACCAACAACAACAAATACCCAACATCACTGCCAACACACACACATCCAACACAACACCCAACACAACATAAACCACCACCACCAACAACATCGTCACCACCACCACCACCACACAACCACCACCACCACACAACATCACTACCAAACACACACACACACCCAACACAACACCAACCACCACCAACAACATCGCCACCAAACACACAAACACCCAACACAACACCGACACACACCACCAACCACCACCACCAACAACCACCACCACACAATATCGCCACCAAACACACAACACAACACCGACACACACCACCAACCACCACAACCACCACCACCACCACGTCACACCCCAGTCGCCACCATCCCCAACAGCTCGATTAGAAACCCCCACCCCTCCCTTCCCCCCTCCCCCCTCCCCTCCCCCTCCCCTCCCCCTACCCCTCCCAATGGCACGGCCAATTCGTACGCCGATTTGACGCGCGCGGGGACGGCGACTTCACGCGAACGGCCGCGGTGGAAGTGAAAAGTTCCCCGAAACTTTTTCCCCCAACGTGCTCGCGAGAGTCATCGGCCAAACCTCCCCCCACCACCACCACCACAATGCCCACTACCCTCCTGGGGCAGGAAGAGTGGAGACTCTCGGTGAGACTGTCCCCATGTTAGGTAATCGCCATCGTGATCATGATCATCATCGTCATGAGCATCACCATCATCATGATCAGCATCACGACCATCATGATTATCATGATCACCATCATGATCATCATCATCATGATCACCATCATGATCATCACCATAATCATGATCATCATCTCCACCATCATGATCATCACCATCATCATGATCATTATCATGATAACCATCATCATGATCATCATCACCATGATCATGATCATCATCACCATCATCATGATCATCATCATGATAACCATCATGATCACCATCACCATCATCATGATTCATCATCATGATCATCATCACCCATGGTCATCATTCTTCGTCATCGTCAATCAGCTGTGATCAATCCGCTGCCGGGATCAAAGCCTCCTTACCCCCCCCCCACCTCCTCCAAGCTGCTGCCAATATTTCGCGATCATCGCGGAACCGATCGCGTCGCTCCCTCGGTGTCTCTCCTCTGTAGCGTTGTCCCCCTCGCCCCCCCCACCGCCACCCCCTGGCCGGCTAAACAAAGTGGGGCATTGTCGTCGCCGTCGAGTCGCCGTGCACGTCCCTGCCATGCCGACGCAGCGACGCTGCGACGCCCGCGTCACGGACAGAATATCGGGTTCCAAAGATTCCCCTTTTGGCGGCCAAAACTTTTAGGACAAAAAAAAAACGACTGTCGATCTGTCGCTGGCGTCACCGGTCACCACCGCCGCCGCCACCACCACCCACCGACACTACCGCCACCACCCACCGCCACCACCGCCACCCCCATCACCGCCACCCGCCACCAACCACCGCCACTACCGCCACCACCACCCGCCACCGCCATCACCGCCACCCGCCACCAACCACCGCAACTACCGCCACTACCGCCACCACCACCGCCACCACCGCCACCAACCACCGCCACTACCGCCACCACCACTGCCGCCACCACCACCGCCACCAACCACCACCAACCACCACCGCCACTAGCGCCACCGCCACCACCACTACCGCCACCACCACCGCCACTACCGCCACTGCCACCACCACCACCACAGCCACCAATAACCGCCACCACCGCAACCACCGCCACCACCAACCACCACCACCACAGCCACCAACAACCGCCACCACCACAACCACTGCTACCACAACCACCGCCACCGCCGCCACCACCACCGAGAGACGTCCGGGGAACCGCGCACCGAGAGCCTCTCGCTCGGCTCACTGACGGACCGTGAGACCGCACTGACGGACCGTGAGGCCGCAATGACGGACCGTGAGGCCGCACTGACGGACCGTGAGGCCGCACTGACGGAGTGGGGACCAATGACTTCTCGACGGCGAATTCGGAAGGAATGAACGTTGAGCCGCCTTCGTCCTTGAACGTACGCGTGTGTGTGAGTACGCCTCACCAGGGAGACAAAGGCGGCCGGGCGTGGCGCTGGCCACCCACCCCCTCGTGTGCCGTGCCGGTCTTAATGTGTGCCCGCTCACAATGCCTTTCCCAAACATCTGTTAAGGCGACGTACCTGTGTGTGTGTGTCTATGTGCAGGTGTCTGTGTATCTACCTGTGTGTGTGTGTCTTATGTACCAGTGTGTGTGTATGTGCAGGTGTGTGTGTGTGTCTATGTGCAGGTGTGTGTACCTGTGTGTGTCTACCTGTGTGTGTATCTACCTGTGTGTGTGTCTACCTGTGTGTGTGTATCTACCTGTGTGTGGGTATCTACCTGTGTGTGTGTACCTGTCTGTGTGTATTTACCTGTGTGTGTATCTACCTGTGTGTGTATACCTCTGTGTGAATCTAACTGTGTGTGTGAATCTACCTGTGTGTATCTACCTGTGTGTGTATCTGCCTGTGTGTGTTTCTACCCGTGTCTGTCTACCTGTGTGTCTATGTACAGGTGTGTGTGTCTACCTGTGTGTGTCTATGTACAGGTGTGTGTGTCTACCTGTGTGTATCTACCTGTGTGTGTCTACCTGTGTGTGTCTATGTACAGGTGTGTGTGTCTACCTGTGTGTGTGTCTACCTGTGTGTGTCTACCTGTGTGTCTGTCTTTGTACAGGTGTGTGTATCTACCTGTGTGTGTATCTACCTGTGTGTGTCTATGTACAGGTGTGTGTGTCTACCTGTGTGTGTGTCTACCTGTGTGTGTATCTACCTGTGTGTGTGTGAATCTACATGTGTGTGTGTACCTGTGCGTGTGTATCTACCGGTGTGTGTCTACCTGTGTGTGTCTATGTACAGGTGTGTGTGTGAAGCTACCTGTGTGTGTGTCTATGTACAGGTGTGTGTGTGTGTATCTACCTGTGTGTGTGTGTCCATGTACCGGTGCTATTAGAAATCAATCCGTTTGCAGGACACCGAACCCCCACGGCCTCCGCTGCTCTCTACCCCCACCCAACCCCCTCGCCCCCCACCCCTGCAGGGGGTCTCCGTGGCACCGTGAAGACCCCTGAGGTCGACTCGGCGCACCCCCTCGTGGCGAGTGCCCTGTCCACACATCTCTCTCTCTCCCTGCCTCTCTCTCTCACACTCCCTGCTCTCCACACACACACCTCGCTCTCTCGCTCGCTCCACTCTCCCTCCCGTTATCTCTCTCTCCCTGCCTCTCTCTCTCACACTCTCCCTGCTCTCCACACACACACCTCGCTCTCTCGCTCGCTCCACTCTCCCTCCCGTTATCTCTCTCTCTCCCTGCCTCTCTTTCTCTCTCTCACTCTCTCCCTGCTCTCCACACACACACACACACCTCGCTCTCGGTCTCTCGCTCGCTCCACTCTCCCTCCCGTTATCTCTCTCTCCCTGCCTCTCTTTCTCTCTCTCTCACACTCTCCCTGCTCTCCACACACACACACCTCGCTCTCGGTCTCTCGCTCGCTCCACTCTCCCTCCCGTTATCTCTCTCTCTCCCTGCCTCTCTTTCTCTCTGTCACTCTCTCCCTGCTCTCCACACACACACACCTCGCTCTCGGTCTCTCGCTCGCTCCACTCTCCCTCCCGTTATCTCTCTCTCTCCCTGCCTCTCTTTCTCTCTCTCACACACTCTCCCTGCTCTCCACACACACACACCTCGCTCTCGGTCTCTCGCTCGCTCCACTCTCCCTCCCGTTATCTCTCTCTCTCCCTGCCTCTCTTTCTCTCTCTCACACACTCTCCCTGCTCTCCACACACACACACCTCTCTCTTGCCCTGCTCCCCACTGCTCTCCCACCCTCTCTCTCTCTCCCTGCCTGCCTCTCTCTCGCTCTTCTCTGCTCGTGCCGCGCGCGATCTCTCTTTGTCAGGATGGAGCTATCCCAGTCGCCCCCCCCCCCATTCTCTCTATCTCAGTCGCTCTCTCTGTCTCTCTATCCCTGTCTCTCTCTCTGTGTTTCTCTATCCCTGTCTCTCTATCCCTGTCTCTCTGTCTCTCTCTCCCTGTCTCTCTATCCGTGTCTCTCTGTCTCTCTCTATCCCTGTCTCTCTCTCTCCCAGTCTCTCTCCCTGTCTCTCTCTCCCAGTCGCTCTCTCCCTGTATCTCTCTCCCTGTCTCTCACTGTCTCTCTCTCCCTGTCTCTCTATCCCTGTCTCTCTATCCCTGTCTCTCTATCCCTGTCTCTCTATCCCTGTCTCTCTCTCTCTCCCTGTCTCTCTATCCCTGTTTCTCTGTCTCTCTCTCTGTCTCTCTATCTCAGTCGCTCCCCCCCCCAGTCCCAGCTGCTGCCGGTTGCTGGCGGTCGCAGCGCGAGCAAATCGGAAGAAAAAAAAATCTGCATCTTCGTGAAAACGAGCGCGAGAAAAAAAACACAAGAGCGCACGTCCACCGGCTTGAAGGCAAATCGAAGCGAGCGAAGATAAAGAGCGAGCGGGCGGGAGAGTGGGAGAGCGAGAGAGATAGCGAGATAGATAGCGAGAGAGATAGCGAGAGAGATAGCGAGAGAGATAGTGAGAGAGATAGCGAGAGAGAGATAGCGAGAGAGAGATAGCGAGAGAGCGAGAGAGATAGAGATAGCGAGAGAGATAGCGAGATAGAGATAGCGAGAGGGATAGCGAGAGAGCGAGAGAGATAGAGATAGCGAGAGAGATAGCGAGAGAGATAGCGAGAGAGAGAGATAGAGATAGCGAGAGAGAGATAGCGAGAGAGAGAGATAGCGAGAGAGCGAGAGGGATAGAGATAGCGAGAGAGATAGTGAGAGAGATAGCGAGAGAGATAGAGAGAGATAGTGAGAGAGATAGTGAGAGAGATAGTGAGAGAGATAGAGAGAGATAGTGAGAGAGATAGAGAAAGATAGTGAGAGAGAGATAGAGATAGCGAGAGATAGAGAGAGATAGTGAGAGATAGTGAGAGAGATAGAGAGATAGAGAGAGATAGCGAGAGAGAGATAGTGAGAGAGACAGTGAGAGAGAGATAGCGAGCGAGAGAGATAGTGAGATAGAGATAGAGAGATAGTGAGAGAGAGATAGAGAGAGATAGAGAGAGATAGAGAGAGATAGTGAGAGAGATAGTGAGAGAGATAGTGAGAGAGTGAGATAGTGAGAGAGATAGCGAGAGATAGTGAGAGAGATAGTGAGAGAGTGAGATAGTGAGAGAGATAGTGAGAGAGATAGTAAGAGAGCTAGTGAGAGAGATAGTGAGAGAGTGAGATAGTGAGAGAGATAGCGAGAGAGATAGTGAGAGAGATAGAGAGATAGCTAGAGAGAGATAGTGAGAGAGATAGCTAGAGAGAGAGATAGCTAGAGAGAGAGAGAGTGAGAGAGAGATAACCGACGGGCTGCTCCGGTCTCTCTGTTGGAGCTCTCCCGTGGGTTTCCCCGCGTCCCCAGGCGCGGACATCGCGCGGACGTCCCCAGCGGGCGAGGGCAGGGAGGGGGGCGCAGCGGCGGATTGGGGGGGGGCGGGATTGGGGGGGGCAGCGCCGCGCAGGGACACGGAGGCGTCCTGCGAGGAGTCGGTCCCTGCGTGACGGCCACGCGGTGCCTGCCACGCCGGGGCCCGTGCCGCCTGGACCCCGCCACCCACGCCGTGAAGCCCCCGGCGGCGGCGGCGGCGCCCGTGTTGGCGATGGGACCCCCTGGGTCACCGCTCGCGAAGTGGCGGAGGAGGCCGCTGCTGGTGCTGCTGGCGCTGTGCGTGGCGATGCAGTGCGGTGAGTAGAGGAGGCACACACCCCCCCCCCCCCCCCCCCGGGGTGCGTGGGTGGGTTCGTGGGTTGGTGCGTGCGTGGGTGCGTGGGTTCGTGGGTAGGTTCGTGCGTGGGTCCGTGGGTGGGTGCGTGCGTGGGTGGGTGCGTGCGTGGATGCGTGCGTGGGTGCGTGCGTTCGTGGGTGGGTGCGTGCGTGGGTGGGTGCGTGCGTGGGTTCGTGGGTGGGTGGGTTCGTGGGTGCGTGCGTGTGTGAGTGCGTGCGTTTGGTTCGTGGGTGGGTGCGTGCGTGGGTTCGTGGATGCGTGCGTGGGTGCGTGCGTTGGTGGGTGCGTGGGTGGGTGCGTGGGTGGGTGCGTGCGTGGGTTCGTGGGTTCGTGGGTGGGTGCGTGGGTAGGTTCGTGGATGGGTGCGTGAGTGCGTGGGTTCGTGGGTGCGTGAGTGCGTCCGCGTTGGGGCAATTCCTGTTTGCGAGCCGCTGTTGAGGCCGGCACAGCGCACGAGTGGGTGGTGGTGGTGTGGCTGACGCCGGGATGCTCCTCCTTTGTCTTCCCACTGACGATGGTTTTACACATTGCTCCAGACAACCCTCGTCACTGATGGTAGCTGCGGGCCGCCGGGTTCAAAGAACGGCGTCCTAACCACTGCACCACCGCTCCCACTTACCCCAACAGTCAATGTAGGCTACACGAAGGGCCTTTGTGTGTGCGTGTGCATCTCTTAGTGTGTGTGTGCATCTCTGTGTGTGTATGCATCGCTGTGTGTGTGAGTCTAAGGGTCTCTATGTGAGTCTACGGGTCTCTATGTGAGTCTACGCGTCTTTCTGTGAGTCTATGCATCTCTGTACGAGTCGAAGGAGTCTTTATGTGAGTATATGAGTCTCTGTGTAAATCTAGGGATTTATATTCTTTGTATGGCTGATGTTGATGTTGGAAAATCAAGTTGTAATTATAATTAGCATTTGTATTATTTGCGTGATACCTGAGTAACACCTGAGTGACACATCTGAGTGACACACGTGAGTGACACATCTGAGTGACACACCTGAGTGACACACCTGAGTGTCACTCAGGCGTCACTGTAGCCAGCGTCTATCAACCCATAGACTCACACATAGACCCATAGACTCACACAGAGACCTATAGACTCACACACAGACCCATAGATTTACACAGAGACCTACAGACTCACACAGAGACCTACAGACTCACACAGAAACCTATATACTCACACAGAGACCTATAGACTCACACAGAGACCTATAGACTCACACAGAGACCCATAGACTAACACATAGACCCATAGACTCACACAGAGACCTATAGACTCACACATAGACCTATAGACTTGCACAGAGACATATGGACTCACACAGAGACCTATAGACTCACACATAGACCCATATACTCACACAGAGATCTATAGACTCACACAGACCCATAGACTCACACATAGACCTATGGACTCACACAGAGACCTATAGACTCACACATAGACCCATAGACTCACACAGAGACCCATAGACTCACACAGAGATCTATAGACTCACACAGACCCATAGACTCACACATATACCCATAGACTCACACAGAGATCTATAGACTCACACAGAGACCCATAGACTCACACAGAGATCTATAGCCTCACACATAGACCCATAGACTCACACAGAGACCTATAGACTCACGCATAGACCTATAGACTTGCATAGAGACATATGGACTCACACAGAGACCTATAGACTCACACATAGACCCATATACTCACACAGAGATCTATAGACTCACACAGACCCATAGACTCACACATAGACCTATGGACTCACACAGAGACCTATAGACTCACACATAGACCCATAGACTCACACAGAGATCCATAGACTCACACAGAGATCTATAGACTCACACAGACCCATAGACTCACACATATACCCATAGACTCACACAGAGATCTATAGACTCACACAGAGACCCATAGACTCACACAGAGATCTATAGCCTCACACAGAGACCCATAGGCTCACACAGAGACCTATAGGCTCACACATAGACCCATAGACTCACACAGAGCCCTATAGACTCACGCAGAGACCTATAGACTCACACAGAGACACATAGACTCACACAGAGACCTACGTATAGACTCACACAGAGACATATAGACTCACAGAGAGACCCATAGACTCACACGGAGATCTATTGACTCACACAGACCCATAGACTCACACAGAGACCTATGGACTCACACATATACCCATAGACTCACACAGAGATCTATAGACTCACACAGAGACCCATAGACTCACACAGAGATCTATAGACTCACACAGAGACCCATAGACTCACACAGCGACCTATAGACTCACACAGAGACACATAGACTCACACAGAGACCTACGTATAGACTCACACAGAGACCTATAGACTCACAGAGAGACCTATGGACTCACACAGAGACCCATAGACTTACACAGAGACCCATAGACTCACCACAGAGACCCATAGACTCACACATAGACCCATAGACTCAAAACAGAGACCTCTAGTCTCGAGCAGAGATCTCTATGGAGAAGGCATCAGGGCAATACCGTCACTCCTGCCGCAATCATCCGGCTCGACCTCCTCCTCAATGTAGAGTCACAGCTCAGCTGCTCGACATCAACGGCAGCAGTACGAGAGGGAGAATGAGACCCGGGAGTTGTCAACATTCGTCCGTTGAACATTCATCGTATTATCATCGGGACCCCTGCATTAACAACACGACATTGAATGCATTTTCACCGGTAAATTTCAATCAAAATCCAATTGCTGCTGGGGTCTCGGGGGAGTGAGGTGGCGGGTGGGGGGGGGGGGCGTGGGGGATACCCCGCCCCCCTCCACCCCCGCGATCCACCGCGCTTGCGCACAGCCCCTCCCCTCGTCCCTGCCGTGAACACTTGGGCCGCAGAAGAGCGGCGCCGTGTCATCGCGGTGATGTCGCGGCGATGTCGCGGTGTCATTGTGGTAACATCGCAGTGTCATTGCAGTGTCATCGCAGTGTCATTGCAGTGTCATCGCAGTGTTATCACGGTGACATCACAGTGTCATCGCAGTGTCATCGCAGTGACATCACGGTAACATCGCAGTGTCATCGCAGTGTCATCGCGGTGTCATTGTGGCAACATCGCAGTGTCATTGCAGTGACATCACGGTGACATCGCAGTGTCATTGTGGCAACATCGCAGTGTCATTGCAGTGTCATCGCAGTGTCATCGCAGTGTCATCACGGTGAGATTGCGGTGACATCGCGGTGTCATCGCGGTGACATTGCAGTGTCATCGCAGTGACATCACGGGTAACATCGCAGTGTCATTGCAGTGACATCACGGTGAGATTGCGGTGACATTGCAGTGACATTGCAGTGTCATCGCAGTGACATCGCAGTGACATCACGGGTAACATCGCAGTGTCATCGCAGTGTCGTCGCGGTGTCATCGCCGTGGTTGGAGCCGAAACCCGGCTTGGAACGGCGGCTCTGAGCGGAGGCGGCTGCGCGACCTCTGACCCTCCGCACCCCGCGGCCGCCTCTCCTTTTGTTCTTTCAAGGGCTCGTGCGCGACTTCTGCGTGGCGGCGTCGACCACCACGACGATGACGACCGCTGTCCCAGCGACGTCCCCGCCGCCGGGTCACGTGACCACCGAGGGTCACGTGACCACGGCCGCGGCGGCAGCGGCCTTTCCGACGCGGCGGGGCGACGGCGAGGTGGCGGCGACCTCGTCGGACGCCCCGCCGGGCTCTCCTCCGGGGGGCACCTCGTCGGACGCCACTACGGACGCCTCGTCGGACACGCTCACCACCTCGTCGGCCACTCTTACAGACGCCCCGCCCGATACTGCTGCAGACCCCTCGTCGGACGGCCTTGCCGATACCTCTTCGGACAAGCTCAGCAAATTATCCGATACCTCATCGGACACTGCCGCAGGCACCTCGTTGGATACCACCCCTACGGACGGATTGTCGGCCACCCTTACAGAAGAAAACTTCTTGAACACCGCTACGGACGCCTCAACCGATGCCCGTGTCGACACCTCGTCGGATATGCCCAGCTCATCGTCGGCCACCCTGCCAACTGCCCCACGCCCAAATCTCCCGGCTGGAATCGGCGCGGGCGGCAGTGATGACGATGACGAGGCGGAGGAGGGCGATTCGACGACGAATTCGGCAGCCCGGATGTCTCCGGGCCCCTCGCCGCCGCCGTCGCCGCCGCCCGGCCTCGCGGCCACGCGGGTGGGCGACGCGACCTCGCCCGGCATCGGAGGCCGGGGCCCGCGGCAGGGGGGCGGCTCCACGGAGCCGACGGCGGCCGCCCTCCCCGCCCGCTCCGCGTCCGCGGAGGGCCTCTCCTCGGGCGCGGGCGACGCGGCCGCGGTTCTCGGCGCCGCCGCCGTGGCAAAGACGACGACGTCGCCGCCGTCGGCGGTAGAAGAGGGGGGCGGCTCGGCAGCCCTCCCCGACGAGGCGACTCCCGCGGCCACCGCGAGCGCGCGGCCGTTCAAGCAGCAGCAGGAGGAGTCGTCCGGGTTGTCCATCCTGGCCACGTCGTCGTCGTCGTCCTTGATTCCTTCCGACGCGCGGACGCGGGTGGCACCGATGGCGTCGGCTCCCACGGCGACGTCCCCACCGGAGGGGCCTTCGTCAGCGGCGGCGGCAACGGCGGCGGCGGTGGAGTCATTGACCGCCTCCTCGTCAGCGACGTTTTCCTCCTCGTCGGGGACGACAGCAGCGGCTTCCTCTTTAGAGGCCTCGTCGCTGGCGATGCTACCGCCAGACACCTCGTTTGAGATGTCCTCTGCAGAGACCGCCTCCTCCTCGTCCTCAGCGGCGACGGTTTCAGGGGCCTCCTCCGCGTCGGTGATGTCCCTCTCGCCAGAAACCTCTTCATCGGAGACGTCTCCGGCGATGTCCGCTCTGCAGACTTCTTCGCCGGTGCTCTCCTCTTCAGCACTACTCTCGTCACCGACAACGGTGTCAGAAACATCGTCGTCATCATTGTCATCATCATCGTCATCGTCGTCATCATCGTCGTCGTCATCATTGTCATCATCATCATCGTCGTCATTATCAACATCGTCGTCACCATTATCATCGTCATCATCGCCATCGTCGTCGTCATCATCATTGTCATCGTCATCGTCGTCATTATCATCATCGTCATCGTCGTCACCATTATCATCGTCGTCGTCGCCATCGTCAACGTCCTCATTATCATCGACGGCGCCTTCGTTAGAGCCACCCGAAACCTCATCAGCAACTTCCGCTTTCGCGTTCACCTCGTCAGAGCCGTCTTCACTGGAGGCTCCGTCATCGGCGGCGGCATCCTCCTCCTCGTCGTCGGGCTCCTCCTTCGAGCTCTTTGTGAGCTTCCGCGTTCTCAACCGCGTGTTTGTGCCGGCGCTGTTGGACCAAACGTCGCCAGAATTCCGAGCTCTCGAGAAGGAGGTGACGGACGAGGTGAGAGCGTGCAAAGCGGGGGGCGGGGCGGGGCGAGGTGGCCCACTGTCGTAGATGTCACAGAACTGCTTCTGAGAGTTCAGCACAGGTGCATCATCGTTGTCATCTCTTCGTGTTCCAAATGTTTCATCAGCGCAACACGTAATTATTGAAACTCGTCGCTTTTGTATAGTCGGAAGACTGCTGTGCGGTGTTTCCTGGGCTGCTCAAAGCTTCATTGATGATTACAAAAAAGTTGTGTGTGCGGGGGAGCGGTGGCTTAGTGGTTAGCGCACTGCGCGACCAATATTAGTGGAGGATATATGAATGATTCCTGGGCTACCCCTAGGGAAATTCAGCCTTAAAATGAGTACCTGATGCAGTGTGTAGCACGGGGGAGACAAAGGCGGCCGGGCGTTGTGCTGGCCACCCACCCACCCACCCCCTCGTGTACCATTCTGGCCTTCATAGGTGCTCGCTAATAGCACTTGCCCCTACAATCTGTTAAGGCTATATGGGGGATCTTTGTCTTTGAATGATGGAACAGCTGGATGCCCAGTTAAACTGCAGCTCCTGTCCGTTACGGAGTTTCTACTTGGGCAGCCAAGTCAGCAGTTTTTGGTGAGTTACCATCACCACCACCATCACCACCACTACCAGCGCTACCACTGACACCACCATCACTCCCATCACCACCACCATCACCACCACCGCCATGAGCACCATCAGCCCTGCCACCATCACCACCACCACCATCGTCATCATCATGATCATCACCAACACCACCACCATTGGCACCATCATCACCGTCATTACCACCGCTATTACCACCACCGCCATCACCACCACCGACACCATCACCGCGTGGCCCTATCAAAGTCCCCCCCCCACCCACCGGTTGCGCTGCCACCTCCGCCTCCTCCACCCCCGCCACAGGCAGGGCTCGGTGAAGGTGGCCGTGAACGTGCGGCTGGGCGCGCCGCTGCCGCCCGGCTTCGACTTCACCAGCGAGTTCTTCCGGCGCACCGCGGACGGCTCGCAGCTCGGCGGTCTCGTCCTCGACCCCGCGTCCGTCCGCTTCTCCGGTACTCACTCACTTACACCCGCCCGCTCCTCTTCTATGGGACGCGAGGCCACGGTGAGCCCTACTCAATCGTTTCCTGTCCTTGCCCGCACGCGGTTGCCCTTCTCTGATGGTAGAGGTAGCGGTAGATAGCGACGCCCAAGAGGTGGGAGTAACGAAAGCAGAATGCTGACCACGGTTAATTTGAAAATGTCCTTTTAAATGTGTCCCCCTGTTAATGTCATTTCTTCTTTTGCCGGAAATATCTATTCTTTGAATCCTAGAGAAAAGAGAAAGTGAAAGATACTGTCTTCGCATGTTATCGTTGCAGCAACAACAACAACAAATGCCGATTTCCGTTTTGGCACCACTTCGAGCACAGGAGGATTGTGGGAAGGGCACGAAGTTGACAGCTGCCGGTTATTTTCCCGACGCGGAGCAACAACGAGCGTCATAACATCCGCAATAGAGTTTTCTTTGGGTTAGATCGCGTAAATATAAATGTGTCGATAAACCCACCGCCACCCGACACGGCCAATTAGTGAGGTTGTGTGAATATGCCAATTCGTTACTAGTACAGCACATTGGTTGTGTGTTGGAGAGCAAATCCACAACATTCACGATTCTAGTTCGACGTTTCGCCAGCCATTACAACTGGCATCATCAGGCGACAGCCAGATTAGTGGCGAAATCCTCCTGTTTTGTTCTTCTTGGTTGCGAGAGCCTACGTGTTGAGCTGTTACAACAGATACTCTGACAAGAATCGAAGGCAATAGGAGTCGCGAAGAGCCTTTTTAAGTCCCGTATTGAAGATTCGCCTCTTTAAACTGCCCTTCATCCCCCCGCCGGCTACTGTTGGCCGTTTACCTGGCAGGTTCTGTTTGTAAAGCCACTCCGCCGAGCCATCGTTGGTGATGGCCAGGTCGCTTCTGAGAAAAAAGCTGATAGCTCAGTGGGCTTTGACTGGTAAGGTCATTATTTTGTTTTGTTTTTTTTCAAGTGACTTGTTTACCTTTCCTATACGTTGCACTCGTGTCGTGTTTTCGTAGTGTTTGTTGTCGGAACGTTCTGACCCCGTGCATCGACTGGAACGCCTGTGAAAAAGAGCTTCATAGCTCATGGGATTCCTCCTCCAGTGTAAATCAATATTCTGATATGTTCTGCTCTCCATTTCACGATGGCGCATTTATAGCTATGGATGGAATACGCCTTCCTTACAAATGTTAATTATTATTATGACATATACAAAAATATATACAGTGAGGGAAAAAAAGTATTTGATCCCCTGCTGATTTTGTACGTTTGCCCACTGATAAAGAAATGATCAGTCTATAATTTTAATGGTAGGTTTATTTGAACAGTGAGAGGCAGAATAACAACAACAAAATCCAGAAAAACGCAAGTCAAAAATGTTATAAATTTATTTGCATTTTAATGAGGGAAATAAGTATTTGACCCCTCTGCAAAACATGGCTTAGTACTTGGTGGCAAAACACTTGTTGGCAATCACAGAGGTCAGACGTTTCTTGTAGTTGGCCACCAGGTTTGCACACATCTCAGGAGGGATTTTGTCCCACTCCTCTTTGCAGATCTTCTCCAAGTCATTAAGGTTTCGAGGCTGACGTTTGGCAACTCGAACCTCCAGCTCCCTCCACAGATTTTCTATGGGATTAAGGTCTGGAGACTGGCTAGGCCACTCCAGGACCTTAATGTGCTTCTTCTTGAGCCACTCCTTTGTTGCCTTGGCCGTGTGTTTTGGGTCATTGTCATGCTGGAATACCCATCCACGACCCATTTTCAATGTGCTGGCTGAGGGAAGGAGGTTCTCACCCAAGATTTGACGGTACATGGCCCCGTCCATCGTCCCTTTGATGCGGGAAAGTTGTCCTGTCCCCTTAGCAGAATAACACCCGCAAAGCATAATGTTTCCACCTCCTTATTTGACGGTGGGGATGGTGTTCTTGGGGTCATAGGCAGCATTCCTCCTCCTCCAAACACGGCGAGTTGAGTTGATGCCAAAGAGCTCCATTTTTATCTCATCTGACCACAACACTTTCACCCAGTTGTCCTCTGAATCATTCAGATGTTCATTGGCAAACTTCAAACGGGCA